TGCCTTCTCGCTACAGCTCTGTCGGTGCAGTTTGTTTTCTGTGATGTATTTCCAGGCACCCGAATCTGGACACACCATGACTGATTACACGATGTGAAACAGTGGCGATACTAGGGCGTGTTATAAACAACGGAACACTGGGTGGTTTATAGCATAAACCAGCAAATGTACTCAAAAATTAGGTCTGTTTCGATCGTATACAGGGTCAAACCGCTCGCGAAATGGAATGGTAGTATAGAAACCACCGTTCCTAGCAGCATTTTTTGAATTTCAAAAAATCGCATCTGTTCTATGGGTTAGAGAGGATCGAAAAAAAATTAATTGAAGCTCTTTTTTAAACCTGTTTTAAAACAACCGTTGCAATATTCGTTCATATATCCTGTTTGCAAAACACCTTCCTCAGGTAGTTCTGCTTGTGGAGTAGGTGAAATCTGCCCTTAGAAAGTACTCGTATATAGAAATACTTTTCCAGATTTTCCAATCAAATATAAAACATTATTGTCCTGACAGATATTGTTGGTACCAGAAAAATTGGCTATACAGGGGTTATACGAGATGTCTACAGAAATGGGTCCTAAAATCTTCGCCAATATACAGGATGTTGCATCGATATAAACGAAATAATTAAATCTACTGGACAGACGAAAACATCGGAGAATGGCCTTCTGTATTATGTTCTTAAAATCCAGATCTCAACACATAGAACAAAAGTGTCCTTGGGACCGAGGTTTTTCTATGATTATTTATGACCCCCAAGCTGGGCAGTCTCCCTATTAAAGGGTACTGCAAAAGATATATCATTTGATGTTTATTTACGCACTCGTCATCATTCCTAATGGCTAGCTCACTAGTATCGCAATTCTATCTCACTTACGGGGTGATCCAAACTTGCATGACTGGAGTACTGATCCGAGACATAAACTTTTTTATAAATTGTTCCGAATCATCACCCACTGTCACTGTATGAATATATTTTAGAAATATTTAGGACTAAACATATTCATATTTTGTAGATATTTGGATGGACATAAGTAACGAAACATTATGACAGTCACAGTGAAAAAGCTGGACTTTTAACGCGTTGAATGAGTAAATTTCGAATTACGCATCAACTCAAGACTTTCAAATATCTTTCCTATAAAAGAAAACAGTGCTCTACTGAAGAGATTAAACTAGATGTTGCGATATCTTGTTTGTTTCAGTCTGAAGACATAACTGTTTTCTGAACAACAGCTCCACAAAACTCAGAAGGTACATGTGTTGATCTATCCAAATATTTTGTAGTACAGAAAAAGCAAGGTCATTAGTCGAACTCCTTGTATCGTGAACGATTTCAATAGTATCCTAAGTTCAAAATCCTGGAATCAGAACTATTTCCTCAATTGTTCTGCCTAAAAATTACGCATGTCCAGTAATTTCATAAAATATCCTGCTAAATTATAACGCAGAATGAGCTGATGTCGCCCAATAAGTCTTATTTAGGGATACTCCTTATTCATTGAGTACGTTTACATAGAATTTGAGATTAAACGACTTACCTAGTAAGGAAGTTCAATCGGAATTATTCGAGGTCCGGTCCACTAGAACACATATTGTAGAATGCGATTCGGTAACGAAGCGGGCCACCTGTGAAAAGTAACATGGATCCCCATCTCCAGACCCTGAGCTATACGAATATCTCATTATGCTTTTTATTTGCTAATCATTTTATTTTTTGGGTATGCGGTACTACGCGTCTAGGATGGGGTGGGATGTGTTCTAGTGGACCGGACCTCGAATAATTCCGATTGAACTTCCTTACTAGGTAAGTCGTTTAATCTCAAATTATTCTTCAGTCCGGTACACTAGAACACATATTGTAGATGTTTAAAGTACTAAATGAGCTAGCAAATGTCATTATGTAATAACATAAAGAGGAATTAAGGAATAATAAAATTATTAGATATGCATTGAATATAAAGTATTTTAATACAAATTGTGAGAAAAAAATTTTTTCATATATTTCCTTAACTTCCTTCCTTAACCGTTCTGACCAGCCTACTGTGGCTCTTATAGTTTCAATGTTAGTACCTGGTCTGTAGGCTGCAGAAACAGCTGCATGCCTAGTACTGTATCCAGAGAATGTACCAGTATTTATTCCAGCTAGGCCTAGAATTTTCTTTAACCACCTGGAAACAGTTTGAGTCGAGGCTGGATGGTACGGTTTTTTAATGGTCAAAAATAACTCCCGTATATTATTTCTTATGTTCTGACTTCTACTTAAATATTCTATCAATGTGCTAGATAGACATAGCTCTGGGGTCTCTCTAAAGAAGGGGAGTCTCAGTCTAGGTTGGATCCTACCGGGGCCTGATGTTTTTAGGATATCCGGTATTAAAATCTCTATGAAGTCAGTTCTTTGATAAATATTATCTATTTTAATTTTTGAAAAAGTTTGTAATCTTTGTGCTGTGCCTAAGGCGAACAGCATAACCAACTTATAGGTTAGGTCTGCAAAGCTTAGGGAAGGAAGGGGATGTAAAGATGACAAATATGCAATTACGGGATTTGGGTCCCAAGTTGCTTGATATTTTGGGAACACAGGTTTGATCCTAAATACACCTTTCAAGTACCTACTAATAACTTTCTCATCAACTTCCTTATTTATAATTAAATCAAGAGATGACCTAAACGTATTCAGTGTTGTATAACTAGCACCCTCCTTAAAACTATTATCTAGAAAATCAACGAAATCTGCTGTTGAGGGATTAAAGCAGTCTACTGCTCTACGGATGCAAAATTCCCATCATTTTTTATAGGCGGTATTGTATTGTTTCAGTGTATTAGGATTTAATGAAGAGATAACTACTTCTAAAGCTGATTCCGTCAGTCTTCTTGGAGCAAGAGCTTCCCTGATAAAATTCCTGACACCAGGGTAAGCTTTGGCCAAAGCGGATGTGGTTGCCTATTTGGAGATAATAAAAGATTTCTATTAGGAGTTAAATAAACAATTTTGACTTGAGAATCTTATTGAGAATTGGGTACCAAGGTTGTGCCCTCCACAGAGGGACCACCATTATCCCCTCCCCCTCATCTTTGATAATTTTATTCAACGTTCTCATTATCAAAGAAAAAGGAGGGAATGCATAGAAAAATATATTTGACCAACTTATCGTAAAAGCATCAACAGCTATTGATTTCGGATCTTTTTTCCAGGAAATAAGTTGTTTACATTTATTGTTTAGCTGGGATGCGAACAGATCGATGTTAGGAAGGCCAAAAGTGTGAACAATTTTCTTGAAAGCTAAAGAGTTTAACTCGTATTCAGTTTCTGAATTAAGCGACCTTGATTCAAAATCAGCTACCACATTACGAGAGGATTCAATATAAGTTGCAAAAATATATATATTTTTAGACTCACACCACTGCCAGACTGCTTTCGACAACTCAGACAATTTCTTATATTTTTGCACCTCCCATACGATTAATGTAGGATATGGCGGTGGTATTGTCAACTTTTAACAAAATGGAGCAATCTTTAAGGTCTCTTGCAAAACATCTTAGAGCATTATAGGCTGCTAGCAATTCAAGGTAATTAATATGAAATTTAGATTCCTGTAAACTCCAAAAACCCTGGGTAGATTCTGGACCTGCCGAGGCTCCCCATCCGACATTTGAAGCGTCGGAGTAAATTACCACTTTATAATCCTGAGGCCTAAGCGAGACAAGTGATTTTGGAATTGCTGTCATCCACCAATTTAATTCTCTTTTTATTTTGAATGTTATTATCATTTGCGAGTTATAATTGTTATTCGAGTTTTTCAATGCTAGATATTTATATCTTTCTAAGCATTTTGTGTGCATAAGACCGTATTTTATAGCAGGACAAATTGAGATAAGGTATCCTAAAAGTCTTGCAAACTCTCTTATTTTACAACTATTAAACTTAACAAATGTGTCAATTTTCAACAAGGTATCATGTCTTTTGCTAGCTGGCAGTGTCATGCACATGTTTATGCTATCATAAAGAAAACCTAAAAATTTGCAAATATTACTGGGTATTAATTGGCTCTTTTTGTAATTTACAACAAAACCCAAGGATTCTAAGAGTGAAGTGGTTCCGGTTATATTCGTCCGACACTGATCTATACTATGCCCTAACAATAATAAATCGTCTAAATAATTAACTGAATAAAAACCTTTGTTTCGTAAGAATGAAATAACTGGTTTTAATAGTTTGGTAAAAATATAAGGGGCAGAGCAGAGGCCGAACGGTAAGCAAGAGAATTCATACAAAACCTTGTTAAACGTAAATCTTAAATATTTCCTATGTTTTTTGTAAATGGTATACAGAAATAGGCGTCCTTTAAGTCTAGAGAGGCCATATATACTCTGTTGGTAATTACATTTTTAACAATTTTATAATTTTCCATTTTAAAGTGTTGGATTGTTACATATTTGTTTAATTGTTTTAGATTTATAACAAATCTCTGATTTCCGTCTGGTTTCTGTACTAAAAAATATGAAGTTAGAAATTGATTTTTACACGGTTGGCATTTATTGATTGCGCCTATTGCTTCTAATTTATTGATTGTTTCTTTAAGGTTCCTAAATTCTATTTTACTGTAACTTTTGGTTTTTAGCAGGACTAACTGTTTAGGAGTATGAAAAAATGGTAAACGGTAGCCAGTTATACAGCTCAGAATAAATCTGTCATTCGTTATAGATTTCCAAGATTTTTGAAAATACTTTAGTCTACCGGCAAATAAAGCAATATTGTTAACATTTACCTCTACTGAATTTGTCGGTTTCGGTAATTGTATCTGGCTAGGTTCCCTCTCGATGATCTCCATTGATTTCTGTTTCTCTCTTGTATTCGAGGCTCCTTTCTCTTGTTTAGTACAAACTGACTTTTCCGAAAACGTACAGATGTTTTGGGGCGCTGCCAGTTTAAATGGCTCCTATTAAAGATTTGGCTAGTTTTTGCATGTTAGATTTTAAAAGAGGATAGACTTGTCTATCTAACTATGTCTGCGATGCATTGATAACTGAAAATGGGCGTTGCACTGAAGTTTTCCTGCTGTCATTAGATCAGGTATTATTTCTTTTACAACATTAGGGAGGTCTGCTATATCTAACAGTTTGCTTATCACTGATGATAAAGCACTTAAGCTTCCAGCTATGTCATTTTGAATATGACACATAAAGGAATCCTTTTTCTGATCGGTAGGCGAAAGAAGTGCTAAAATCTCTGGATTTAAGGTAGGTGAGTTGAAAGAGAGGCAGTTTTCAGGTGTTGGCCACTCGAGTCTTATTTTTTCTTTTTCATCGCTAGACATCCCATTGGTTGCGTAATAATTTAGCCTAGAGGCCACCTGATCACTCACTGGCTTGCCCATAACCTTAGGCATGGATGGATCAGTTCCCAGTATTTTATTTATACTATCTATTTTATCAGAGGGTATTGGAGAAAGTTCTGCTTCTCTGTGAACATTGACCTCTACGATATTACCCTGATTAACATCGCTGTGAACCGAATCTGATGAGGAAACACTTATGCGGCGAATTCTCTTTCTACGGGGTTCTATATCCTGGTCACTCCCACCTAAGAAACAAGAATGCCAGTTTTTCATTTTTAATTCAATATGTCTAAATAGCGAGAAAGGCTATTCAAACTCTGCTTAGTAATTTTGCAAAGACAGCAAATTACCTCGACTCATAATGGTATGTGGGATATTTACTAAAAGTAGTAACTTACAAAAAACAGCGAGCAAGGCTGTTTTTTAGTTATACATATACATATGTGTGGCGAGTAAAGCCATTTTAGATAATAACATATTTTTATCATGATGAATCAAACGGCGAGTAAGGCCGTTTTGTACGAGAAATTAACCTTCAAGTAGTAGAATGCTAAATTTCGCCTACAAATCATTTAAAAACAAATTCATCATGTCGGTAGATGACGCCTAAGGCCATTTTCACCATAACCGCGTTTCCCTGATACACAAAACAATAATAAACATCGTACTTACTTGTAGAGACGTCCTGTAGCATTTCCTCTAATTTCTTCAACTTTTCTTTAATTATAATCACACGTTTCCTATTTGACGACATTGTGAACACGCAAAAAAGGTAAACAAGAGGCGACCACACTCCTTTGCACCAAAAAGCATAATGAGATATTCGTATAGCTCAGGGTCTGGAGATGGGGATCCATGTTACTTTTCACAGGTGGCCCGCTTCGTTACCGAATCGCATTCTACAATATGTGTTCTAGTGAACCGGACTGAAGAATAAATAATTTGCTTGAATACGAGCATGTCCATCACCTACTGCCCATACACATGGGCTTCAAATTATCGCGCTGCAAAAAAAAAACGGGCGTTTGGCATTACATTCATGCCACGATACTCTATCTACGTACATTAGAAACAATACAATATCTAATGAATGGTTAAGACTCTATTTTCTACATCATCAAGGTCTGACATCAGGCCTGAGACATTTGATGGCGAAAGTGATGAGTTTAGTTAGAATTTTTGTCGCAGCACTTTTCCAAATATTCTTCAAATAATTGCGACCTTCGAGATTGAATAATTTGTGAAAAAGTCAATGATTGATCAACTAATTGAAAATCAAGCGACAAAGTTACATTTTCCTTCCATCAAATGTTTTCATTGTATATTTAATACATACATACAATTTCTATGTACTTATTTTCACTTCAGATACACCTTTTAGGCATAGTGACTGAATAATTTCATATATTAGAAATTTGGTTACCCCCTCCTATGCAATATTTTTGCATACATTAGATAAATTGCCATTTTTACATATATGTGAATACAGGAAGTAATGAATCATTCAAATACCTGTAATGAATTAGCCAAAAAATGCGAACGAACCCATTTGTAGAATATTTTGAAATTTAAATGAAATGAAGCCGCATAACAATTTCAACGGGTATAATAACTTTTTTGAATACATTACGGCGACACAGTTCCGTTAGCCTAAAATTTTCCACAAATCATCGACTTTTATCTGAATATGCGTGTACCATAAAACGTTCGTTAATATTGTTTTAAGCACCAAAAAGTGGACTAATGCCCGATAGGACCTGAGTGATCATCTGAATAGCCATGTTCATTTATTCTTTTCATTTTAAAGTCGAGTCGTCTCAGGGCGTCACGTGACTTGTGGATTAGTGAAAATGGTGTCAAATCGAATGACTTTGTACTTTCCAGACATCCATCTACGTATTATTTCTTTACCCATGAGTATGCTACTTGAGTGTCATTATCGAGATACCTTACTCAAAAAACAATGCGTGTCGAGTTCCCTTAAGAAACGTTTACTACGCCCTACACTGATCAGACACTCGGAAGCGGAGTAGACAAACCTTTTGGACATTCCTCCTAATTTTGAACATAAAATAAATTGATATCTCGTTAGTAGATCTGCTAACAGAATATTCGATTTACTGACACTTTGTATTCCGTTTCACAAAACTTCGTTATTTCATAAATATGATGCAATCAATCTATATAATGCATTAGGTACCATCTGCTCAACATATTGTTCTTAATAGTATCAAAAATCAAATTATCTGTGATGCTCAAATCTGAAGTAACTCTCAGTATATAGATCATCTACATTCATATTTCTACATGTTATATGAATCTTTTAAAGCCTTTTTTGTACACACGTGTGTACGCTGTGTTTAATTTGACATTTTCATTTAATTTTTCGAAGAATATTTTGTTAAAATTGTTTCCAGTATTCTAGTGCTAGTTTTTCGAGCGTCGATTGGTGGAACAGCCTGTAGATATACTTCGCCTTAGATAAAAGTCGGTTATTATTCCTGTTATTATTAAACGAAACTTTGTTGATTTCTCCTAGAGAACATCCGAAAGTTGTAAAGGATATAAGATCGAGGTTTGGGAACGATTTTAAACTATTTTCGTTTTTTGATCAATACGTTCTTTGGTGGTATGTTGCCATTTTTTATCGACGTGACGTTTTATTATGGAGATACTGGAAACTTGATAATTATGATTTACCTGACGAAGAAAAACGCATCAAAACCTATTATGCAAACGACGTACGAAAAATCACTTTAATTTTACTTCCCACGCCTACTGGCGAGGAAGTAGAGTACATAATCGGTAAAAATCTAAAATGTGATATTACGATTTTGAGGTATTATATGACATGTTCATCACGAAAAATCATGTCACCCACTCCCGTTGGTCTGCCCATCGGCCTCTCTATCGGTCGGTTTGTCCGCAAATCCTTGGCCCGTCTGTAACTGGAAAGGTACTGCTCGGATTTGGATGAAACTTCCACACGAGGTTACCAAGAACGAAAAAGCTTTGCAGCTTTTGAAAATCAGACCAGTCCAATTATTTTAGGAGTACAAAATTGGGAGGTGGTTGGTTGTAGGTGAGCGTGAGAGGGTGTATCGCAATTTTTGATGTTAGTTATTGATACACTTCCCGTACCTATGGGTCGCCATGGAGTTGTAAATTTCTCTTGTAATGGAACTTGATAAGGTTACTTGGTTTAATGAGGTAATATTTATATAGTACTAATATATGAGTACGTATCGATAGCTAATATATTAAGTTATCAAAAATTTTTGGCAAAGAGATGTACACCAGACCTTCAAAGAAATGAGGCTACCGTGTACGAACATGCTCGTTGCTGCAATCTGAGGAATTATTTTTCCATTAAAAGCCCAAGTAGTTCACTAATGAATGTGATAAAACCTACTTCCTTTTGATACCATTGCACCAGATCGCATTTTTTTCATAAAATTTACGATGTCGGAATGGTAAATCATCAGTACTCCAGGTGGATTACAGCTAAAAATACCCATTTATGGGTGGTTTCTAAAGTAGCCGATGTTTCTATTGAAGATGCTTCAGGATACCGTGTATAACATAAATATTCATATGTGCCAATATGGCGAGAGGTAGTAACGATTAGAAAAATGAGAATAAAGAAAGTTGCAATTTTTGCTGGTACCTTTTCGCACGTTTTAGAAAGTTTTTGTTTATACAGGGTGGTCCAAAATGTAAAATATACTTTTTTATGTTTTTTTTTTTTTGACATAAGAGGTTTTCCAGCTATTTCTTCAGTTGTTATCAAGTTTTTCATCAAACAGTGTAATCTATCGAAACAAGAGAACTGTTGATTACGTTACAAGATTGGTTTGACAGATGTCAAAGATTTATTAGCAAATATTAGGTTAAAAACATGGTTAGAGATGAGCTCTTCCAAGGAAGAAACGGTCAATGAGGGCGTTCGTTTTGGGGAAGCGCAAATAAATAGTTTTTTTATCATCTGATATTTATAATCCGGATGTATTTTCCGCACTCCGAGAATGATTTGAATCAAGTAGATCAGTGCACTATAGTAAAAAAGAAGTTCTGTCCAAAGTATTATTAACAACCATAGATACCATTAATGTCATACATGCTTACATCAAGGCCTTCGCTTTTAGGATTTCAAGTATAACTCCTTCCTAGGGATAAGCAGCATAAGTGTTGTGAATAAGTATAACACAGGTAGATTTCCAGAACAAATGGAGCATACATGGGGGTATTATTGGCAGATAAGTCCTTTTTTAGAGAACACATTTTAAGGTACGGAATGCTTGAAATTGATGGAACGTTTACGTCAGCTTTGAGAGTATCATTCTAACTAACTTGCCCAGACATACTACCAACAGCATTATGGTCTACGTTTGCGTGACCATTTGATCATCTAGCATGAGGACAATAAAGACCTATTGGGACATTCTTTATGATCTTAGTGCTACTACAAGCATCACCTCAGTATCCAACTGTTGAAACCGTATTACTTTGCTCATGTTCATTCTACCCTAAGTTACTTCATAGTAGTCTGGGGCGGATGTCATAGAATGAGTGAACTATTTATTATCCAAAATCTAATTATTAGGATAGTGTTCTACAAAATCCTTGCAGATCGTTATTCAAAAAGTTAGGCGTAATGGCGATGTGCTCCTTGTATATTAATACATGTTTGATCTATGTCAGAGATAATTATAATCAGTATCATACAAGGAATGATATCATTAAGACATCGGGCTATAATCTCCTGGCGAATTTCAATATTGTCGTATCGTCATAAGCTTGCTTCTGTGTCCAAGGGTGCGTCCATCATTCCGACAAAATTGTTCAGCCACTTACCCTCATCCTTAAAATAAGAGTGTAACTCAGAAACAAACGCAAGGTATGCGAACTACTGCTTACGCATCAATTTTACACAACTGATGAATATTTGTCACGCCCATTATGATTTCAATGTGTTTTGATTTCAATGTATTGTTATGTGAATGTACCTTGATTAATGTCTATGTATAAATTTTTTAATGTATATGTTGTTGTTCTTTGTAAATTATATACTCTTTTAATAATTCGAATTTGAATTTGTAATTTGAATACCTATACTTGTCATTCAGGTCCGATGCAACATTAATAAAGTTGTAGTTGCAGTTGAAGAAGACTTAGTAGATAAAGACCTATATGATTGGCTCTACTGGATCACCCCCTTTAAGTTGTTACGGCACTGACTGCGCTTTGCACTTGATGCCCCTTAATATCTGTCTATACGAGCATATATGTACAACGTTCCGGCATTTTAGAACCCCGATATCAGCACAAGTGTGTATGCACAGAGCCAATTTTAATTCGTACCATCATCACTAGAGGAAATTAAATTTGACGGAATTGTTCGTTATGTTCGAAATACCACCGAAACTCTTATCTTTATATCTCCGCATATAGGCGAGGATCGGAGTTGGTTTACGGCGAACCGAGACGTAATTGTTTTATGTTTACAGCTCGCCGAGCGGGAAACTTTCAAAAATACATAAACTTACGCGCGTCTGTTAAGTTTGGTGAGATATGGCGCTTTGACGTTACACGCCCAGATGGGGTGGCCTGATAAGGATATATTCGACACTTTAGTCTGCGACAAGTCAGTATCTTGAGCGGCGCTTCTAGGGGAACAGCGAAGCAAGTTGATTTATTTGTACAATGTGTTCTAAATGTTAGTTATCTCGTTTGCTCCATTTTTGTTTAAATGACTTACTTAATATAATTGTCTTTTTAAATTATGACCCGCGGAAATATAGCGGGATATACGATTTTATTGAATGTTCTAAGAAATTAACAACAGCCTGAAATTCGATGTGGTGCTGGTTAATGAAGGATATATATATACAGGGTGACCCATCCATGTGTGGGCGGAAAATTTCTCATAAATAAATATATTTTGGGATCTATTCATGGGATGTTATATATATATTGAGGGCACATTTATAAGATATTGGTCATCATACAGGGCGTCCCAATTTCGACCTACATATCAAAGCTGTGATTTTTCAAATGGAGTTTTTCTCAAAAATTTCAAATGCACCACCCTTCATATTTGTGCAAGCTTTTTATAAGCTTTTTTTTGATCCTAGACACATAAGGGTTTTTACGGCTACTTTTTCGGTTATTACGTATTTTATGGAACGGCTTAATTCCCTAAAATATCAAAACATCCTTGGAAACAAATAAATTGTTGATTAGTTACAAACTGTTAAAATTAGCTTTGTGAGTATTATAATAAAAACGTGTTTGAAAATGAATTTTTGTAAAGAAGAAATGGTAAATATGGTGTTCGTTTTGGGCGAAGCCCAAAGAAATAGTTTCCTCCTGGCATCACGCATTTATAAGCAACGGTACCCTAATATGAAACATCCAAGGCCAGAGAAATTTCCACACTATGAGAACGTTTTGAATCAAGTGGAGCAGTGGAATATAGTAAAAAAAATGTATAAATAATCCAAGGGGTGACACATGAGGCGAATCAGTTGGAGGTTCTATTGAAGTTGCAAGAAAGTCCCCATTTAAGTGCACTGCGAATTGGAGCAGAAACTGATATATGCAGAACTTCTGTCCAAAGGATTATTCACAAGCATAGGTACCATCCATATCACCCATGCTTGCATCAAGGCCTCGATCCTCAGGATTTCGCAGCTCGAATGGAGTTTAAGTAGAATAATGCTAAATAGAGTGAGTGAAGACGCTATTTACCTGGATAGGGTTCTTTTTAGCGATGATGCCTCGTTTAAAAGCATACGTGTTGGCAACAGGCATAACATGCACTATTATGTGGCAGAAAACCCTTTCTGGATCAGGCAAATATAGATTTCCAAAATAAATGGAGCTTGAATGTTTGGGAAGGAGTTATTGGCAAACAAGTTATCGGACCTTTCTTTTTCGACAACAGATTAACAGGTACAGTATACTTGATTTTTTTTATCGAGCATTTGCCTTTGCTTTTGGAGGATGTCAACCTGCAAACTCGGATGCATATGTACTTCCAACATGACGGAGCACCTGCGCATTATCATAATCGTGTGCGTAACTATTTGGACACCTGGAGTAACAATCGTTGGATCGGTCGTGATGAGCCTATATCTTGGCCTCATAGATGACCAGATATGACACCGATGGACTTCTTTCTTTGGGGCTACATTAAGCAAGAGGTTTACAGATATCCACCTACTACCCCGGAAAATATGAAGGAGAGGATTAAGGATGCTTTTCTGAACATAAGGGAACACATGCTCAGGGATGTGCAACGGTGACTCATCCAAAGGCTACGGCTGTGTATTCAATATGGTGGAGATATTTTCGAGCAGTTTTTGTAGGTTAGGTCTTGAGTAGTGATGGTTGTTTGTTTATGTTGTTGTTATAGTTGTTTTTCTCTATTACGCTTGAAGCTGATTTATACTGTTCTGATTGTTATTAGTTTTTACGTCAAATCTGTACTCTTAGTGGCAATATGGAACTAGCCCACTGTTTGTCTTTTGTTTTCCATGAATGATGTGATTTTTTTCCTTAATTTTGGTGCGTTGTTCTATTAAAAGTTTAATAACTCAAAATCTAGTGATTTTATCTGAATCAAACCTGATACAAAAAAAACTTATCAAAAATTGGATCCAAACTTGGACATATATACAGGGTGATGCATTTGAAATGATTGAGAAAAACGACAATTAGCGTTTTTGACCACCGTGTATGAGCAAAAACGAAAATTCGAAAAATTATCAAATAAAATAAAAGCTGAGGTGTGTAGGTTTCTTTTTGATACAAAATTCAGCACTCCAAATTTAAAAATGGCGGATTGAGGGGTTGCCGAAGGGGACGGTTTTTCTGGACAAAACACTTTACATCTCAGTAGCTAATTACCAAAACCCCATAGTGTATTATACCAATCTTCTTCTTTTGAATTGGTTTATCCACATGTGTAATAAAATTTGAGGTATTCCATTGAAAAATCACAACTTTGATAGGTAGGTCAAAATTGGGACACCCTGTATAATTGCAAATATTTTATAAATGTGCCCTCGAATGTCATGTATAACATGCCATTAATAGATTTTCCCAAAATGTATTTGTTTATTAGTAATATTCCGTGCACACATGGATGAGCCACCCTGTATATATATATATATATATATATATATATATATATATATATATATATATATATATTTGGTTTATATATATACTATGTATATACTAAGTGCGAACCGACTAGGAGTAATTTGGAGCATACCTTTGTAAGTTTTAGGTCTAGTGAAAAATAGAAAGTGAGAAATTTTAACTGGTAAAATACCTGAGATATCCTACCTTAATGTTAATAATGTGTTGGTGCTCCTCTGTTCGCTACAAATTCGTTAGGTCGTCGCCGCATTGATTGGACTAGGTGATTAATGTCTTCTTGGTGTACTGTATACCAGGCCATCTAAATCTGATATGTGTGTTGGTGGAGGGTGCGGTGAATTTTGCAACCTTCTTCCCATCATGTCCCATACATGTTCGATGTGGCAACGGTCTGGAGATCGAAGATCCAGGAGAAGATTTGAAGGGAAGCAGATGTGGTTGTAAAACTTTGTGGATATAGCGCTGGGCAGTCATGCTTCCTCGAATGAACACTAATCGTGACCTGCTGCCGTAAGCAATAGCACCCCATACCATAATACCCACAGTACGACGAATATGCCGTTCACCACGTCTTCTCCTTACTCTTGTACGGCTATCATGTGTGCCCAAACAGAATCTGGACTCATCCCTGAACGCGACTGAGCTCCATTCCATATTCCATTCAAGTCTCTCTCTGCTCCATTACAATCGTTGCCGACGATTCTGTAGCGTCAGAGGTAGAACAATATGGGTACGGTATGAAAGCAGTCCATAAGAATTTATTCTGCGATAAACTGTCCTAATCGTTATTGCCCTTCCGACAGCTTCAAACCACTTGTTCGCAACTGCCCTTGTGGAAAATCGATCTCTAAGTGCTAGTTTTTTTTCATACTCAACTAACACGAAGGCCTAAGGTCTAAACACCCATGGGGTACTGATGGAGAAAGAATTGTAATCGCCAAAAAAAAATCAAAAATGAGATATTAATATGTTTTTCTGTATGTCACATGAAGTCCCATCTCACTCATTTCCTTCGGTCTGTCTGTCTATCTGTCCGCTAATACTTGGCCCATCTATAACTTGGAAAATACTGCTCGCATTACCACTGTGCTAAGGACGAAAATGAAATGTTTAATGGGAGATAGGTCTGCCGATCGTGGTGGCCAAGATAAACGCTTCATGAGATGTTGATTCATGAAGGATAACGGTGATGAGACGAGGCTCCTGTACCTTCTGAATATAGCATTGGGCTGTCATATTGGCTCTGATGAAGATTAGTAGTGATCTGTAACCATAAGGTATAGCAGACCATGTCATACGAGGGATGTCTTTTAAGTTTTGCATATATATAAAACAACGCGGTAGGTAGTTTTAAATGACTTTATTGTTTTTCGAAGTATTCTCCATGAAGATTAATACACATCTGCATGCGCTCGAACCAATTTTCGAAGCACTTTTCCACTCTTTTGCTTACAGATCCAAAACGGCATTTTTGAACGCGTCAACTGCTTCTTCTGGTGACTGGAACCTTTGACCACGCAGTCTGTTTTTAATTTTCGGGAAAGTAAAGAAATCGTTAGGACTTTTTCGGGACTATATGGAGTATGGTCCAATAATTCCACGTTTTTGCGCTGTGTGCGAGCTTGCATTGCCTTGGTGGCGGAGGATTCTTCTTTCGGGGTTGATTTTTGGAAGCTCGGTGATGACTTTTGGCAAACGAATGGTGGTATAACAATCCGCAGTAACAGTTCTTTGTTAAGAGGAATTGTTGCAATATGACCCACTTTTGACACAAATGTCGCGACGAACTTTTTCGAAACACTTCGACAACGGATGACTTTTGTTGGCTTTTCTTCCCTTGGAACACCCAAACAGCCGACTGTCATTTGTTTTCTGGTTCATAACAGTAAATCCACGATTCATCACCACTAACAATGCTGTACACATTTTTTGAGTTTCCGGAATTGAAACGGTCAAGCGTTTCTTGACCAATTAACCCTGGCTACTTTCTGCTCTTCAGTCAACAGGTGGGCTATTCAACGAGAAACTAATTTTCTTACTTCTAATTCTTCATGTAAAATTTTTTGAATTGATGTCGCGATCTTCAACGACGCCTCAATCTCACATGTCTATCTTCAATGATGGGTTTGCGCACAGCATCGACGTTTTCCTGGGTGACTGCCGTTTTTGGTGCACCCACCCTGGGATCGACGCTAAGACTCACCTGTCCACGTTTGATTTCTCCATACCAACAGGAAATTGTCGACTGATGTGGCGCTTCCTTGCCGAAAACAGACAGTAACTCAGCAAGGTATTCTTGTTGCGATAATTATCTCTGAAAGTTGTAATAAATTATAGCGCGCAAATGTTCTCGGTTGAGTTCTATTTTTCTAATGACTTGGTGACACTTAAAAATTCACTGTAGTGAGAACACTGCACGTATTTTTGTGAAACTTTAAATTTAAGTTTACTAAAGAGTGAGATTAAGATTCAGTACTGACGTTCGATCCGCGCGGCCTACAATGTTTCTATATGCAAAACTTAAAAGACATCGTAACTCCCACGGTGTGGTGAACTTGACGCTCTCTGTCAAATTGTGAATCACATCTTTCCCCAGGTCGCCTTCTCACCCTCGTCAGACCATGGTGCATCCCCAGACAGAAGCGGGATTCGTCACTACCTGATTCCATTCCCAGTCACATAGAATTCTTTCTCTACACTAGAACAAACGGTTACGCTGATCTTCAGCTGTGAGAGATAGCACCTGGTGTAGGCGATAAGAAAAAGGGGCAAACTGCCGTATTTGGCGATATACCGTACGCATCCCAAGCATCCTTCCATACTCTTCAAACAACCGATTAGCGATGGCAACAGAAAAACCTGACCATTTTATCACTCGTTGTTCATGGCAAGATAAATCGATATGTAAAAAATTCTTGAATTCCAATAAACACACGCAGGTGTTTATCTTTTTTGTCACTCAGTATATATGTATATATTGAAACAATTTTGTCAGTGTCTCACAGCAATAATGAATATTAATATATCTTCATACAGCCCATCCTGTCAAGAGTGTATTCCCATCTTACACTCATATTAATTACACTTTTCCAAAACAAACTAATCCAGCAACTTTGAAAATATGTAAAGTTTTTTCCGAGCCCTCTTGTATACACTATACAGGAAATCTGGCAACGATTTTTACATTTCCACATTCCTTCGCGACGGTCATCTGTCATCTGTCGACGCATCACTCTTCCGGTTCGCTCTTTGTCTCCAAGTGAAATACCTAACTATGATTTCCGTCGTTACCAACAAACCCAATGTGTACGTCCTTTTGGTTTTACATTTGTAACAACTGCTCTAGTCTACGCTGTCGTTTTGAAACACCTCAGATACGAGTAAGTTGACTGAAAATTTAAATCTTTGCTGTATTGGTTGCTAGCTTCATATTTGTGTTTCAACTCCTGATGACGGCCCCATGGCGTGCCGGAAGCTCGACATTACTTTCAAAAGACTTTACTAAGCCTAAAGATTGCCAATTTCCCAGTTAATAATTAATTGTGTTTCTTGCTCGACTGGTCGTTGGCAATGGCAATGACTACTGTTCGCATACTGCTCGCGTATACATATATACAGGGTGTCCGCAAAGCTGGGGTTGTCCTTTTCAGAAGCAACTAGCCTTGAAATAACTTGAAATAAGGTGATGTGTAGTGAAACGAGGGCGACCAAGTAAAAAAAAATAAAGAAAAAAGTACTCACTCTCCAGTTGACGAGAAGGGCTAAGTACGTCTGTGCCTGAAATCATACCGCTCCAACAGAAAATGAAATCAGCTGCTGCGCTACCGAGCAGACGCAGGCGGTGGTGCAGACCACGAACAGAGGTAACAAATATGACGGCTTTGCCGCGTTTTCAGTTTTTAGGTAACCGTACTTTATAGCTATTGTTCGAAGTTATCGCCGTTTGATTCAAAAACACATGTACGTGCACGACGTAGCCAAGCATCGGTGCAGGCTTTGAGAATGGAGTCCCTCCCCCGAATGAATGCACCAGCTTGTTCAATTCTGAGACGAAGTTCATCAACCGTATGCACTTCTGTTTTGTACACTAAGCGTTTCATTTCTCCCCAAAGAAAAAAAATCACATGGTGTCAAGTCTGGAGATCGCGGAGGCCACGCTACGGGTCCATTACGTCCGATCCACCTATTCGGAAATAATTCATAAGTAAAAAAAAAATAAAGAAAAAAGTACTCACTCTCCAGTTGACGAGAAGGGCTAAGTACGTCTGTGCCTGAAATCATACCGCTCCAACAGAAAATGAAATTAGCTGCTGCGCTACCGAGCAGACGCAGGCGGTGGTGCAGACCACGAACAGAGGTAACAAATATGACGGCTTTGCCGCGTTTTCAGTTTTTAGGTAAACGTACTTTATAGGTATTGTTCGAAGTTATCGCCGTTTGATTCAAAAACACATGTGCGTGCACGACGTAGCCAAGCATCGGTGCAGGCTTTGAGAATGGAGTCCCTCCCCCGAATGAATGCACCAGCTTGTTCAATTCTGAGACGAAGTTCGTCAACCGTATGCACTTCAGTTTTGTACACTAAGCGTTTCATTTCTCCCCAAAGAAAAAAAATCACATGGTGTCAAGTCTGGAGATCGCGGAGGCCACGCTACGGGTCCATTACGTCCGATCCACCTATTCGGAAATAATTCATTCAAAAACTCACGCACTTCGCGTCTAAAATGCGTGCAGAAACCACATTGATTGTCTTACACTTAATGGCACATCTTCTAACAAGGAAGGCAAAATGTTGCGTAAAAAGTCTAGGTATTGCATCCCGTCCAATCGATTTGGGAGAATAAATCGTCCAATGAGCATACCATTCACCATGCCAGCCCAAACATTCACCGAAAATGTTTGTTGAAAATGTGCCCGACGGACAGCGTGCGGATTTTCTACTGACCAAATATGAGTCTTGCGAAAGTTATTCACCCCATTACGCGTGAACGTAGATTCGTCTGTCACCAATATGCACTTCAAAAAGTCCGGATTATTGTCATGTTGATGCAACGACCACTCACAAAACCGCACTCTTGCTGGAAAATCGTCAGGTTGAAGGGCTTGTACACGTTGGACGTGAAACGGATACAGCCCCTCTTCACGCAGCGTTTGCCACACTTTAGATTTTGATACTTGCACTTCTCTAGCCACGTCTCTAGTGCTTGTTGAGGGATTCTCGTCTACGCGATTCAGTAGTTCTTCCTCAACTTGCACCATTCGTGGTTGTCTAGGCCTCCCACTGTGCCCACCTCGAAATTCCTCCAAATGGCCCGTATCCCTGACTCTCTGGACCAGGTACACAAATCTGCCGGGCCTTGGATGATGTCGTCTAGGGAAACGATCTGCATACACTCGCGAATCCTCTGTAGCATTTTGAAGACATTCGCCATAAATTAACAACATATCAACGAGTTCATTATTGGTGTATGAGTGTGCCATTATTATGTTTTTTCAAACGCAATCGATTATACGTGTTCGTTTACTTCTACACGCGTGACCGTAACCGTCGGTTGAAGGTTGCATACTGACCTGACACACTGACCCCGACCCAGTTCTGTCGTCGGGTTGAGCCAGTGACCTTGTACCACTCGGTGATGTCGCGGGTCGCGGCTACAGGACGGTATTCAGATATTTTTGATGTTGCAGAGCCCTTTATCTCGGTTCCCTTAAGACATTGGTGTATATGGTACTAAGAAAAATTGCTTATGTTTTCAAGATCTACACGTCGTGTAAAGGAAAACCCCAACTTTGCGGACACCCTGTATATATACCACAGCGTAATCATAATATGGTGAGTTCGTAGGTTTTGCTAACCATACCACAATACTTTGGCAGGACAAAGATAAATGAAATTAAGACAAAAAATAATAGTTATACACAATCAATCAAAAAATGGTGAGACAACAGTTACTTGAATATTTCAATGTTAATAAGTCGAAATTTATGACATTTAAATGCTCCCTTGATTTTATAAATTTAGATAATGAACTGATACACAAAACAGACTGACCATTGATCACAAATTAGATTTTACTAGTTATGTAGACAAACTGTGTACTTACTCAACTACCAAAGTTTTCCTGCATTATAAGAACAATTAGTTGCAACGTAACGAAAAGCACAGCAGTAAGCAGATACTTTGCTTTATTTGCAAGTAGATTGAGATACAGCATTCCCTTTTGGTGTGTTTGTTCCCAAAATTATTTAAAAGTGTTGTTTATTCTACAAAAACTAACTACAAGATACATAACTTAAACTAATCCTTCAGCTACATGCAAGCCTTTATTTGTAAATCTTAATATAATGACTATCGCGTCATTGTTCATTTTAAAGAATAATTCTTTATTTGAAACATTAAACATAAGTTACAATATTAGACGAAATTAGTAGTACCTAAAACAACAATTATGAGAGACTCAATAATTCATAATGGTCTTAAAATTTAAGTGTCTCCCTGATGCTATCAAAGGAATTAATAATTTAAACTAATTCCGCCGTGAACTTAAAACCTTTTTAATATGTAAACCATATTATACCTTGTGCCAGTTCTACAATTCACATACTTAATCCTTTTATATAATTATATTATAGTTTAGTTTCAAATTAGCTTTGTCATTAAGAGTGATTGTATTCTTTAGACAATAAAGACAATAAAGCATATGTTTATATATCCATCAAGGGCTATTATAACCAGGTATCAGATATTACAAACAGCTTTACAACACAGCTTTGAACAAATGCG